CTTCCTGCAGAACCTCCCACCAATATATTATTTCAATATTTTTCCAAAACGTTTGTTTAACCTCCAGAGAAGAAACAGCTAGGATCGGACAACAAAGCTTTCTAAAATTATATATATATATATATATATATATATATATATATACACAGTTGCGTTCAAAATAATAGCAGTCAGACATCACTAACCTGATCAATCACTGTTTTTGGTAGAAATGATATTTCTGCATGGCAAATAATTTACTAGCAGGTGTAGTAGAGTAATAGAAATCCAACAGACCCAACAGTCATGACATGCATGCTGCTGATTCTGTGTAATTGAATCACTAATTGAAAGGGGCATGTTCAAAATAATAGCAGTGTGGAGTTCTATTAGTGAGGTCATTCATTCTTTGAAAAACAGGTGGCAATTATTGCCCTTATTTAAGGAAGGAAGGCAGCAAATGTTGTACATGCTGGTTACAGTGCATTTCTCTCTGAAATTCTGAGGAAACTGAGTCGTTCCAGACATTGTTCAGAAGAACAGCATACCTTGATTAAAAAGTTGATTGGAGAGGGGAAAACATATAAAGAAGTGCAGGAAATGATAGGCTGCTCAGCTAAAATGATCGCAAATGCTTTAAAATGGCAACCAAAACCTGAAAGATGTGGAAGAAAGTGAAAAACTACCATTTGAATGGATAGAAGAATAGCCAAAATGGCAAGGACTCAGCCAACAATCAGCTCCAGGAGGACCAAAGAAGGTCTAAAGTTACCTGTGAGTACTGTTACAATTAGAAGACGCCTATGTGAAGCCAAGCTATCTGCAAGAAGGCCCCGCAAAGTCCCACTGTTGAAAAAAAGACGTGCTGAAGAGGTTACAATTTGCCAAAGAGCACATTGACTGGCCTAAAGAGAAAACTGGCGCAACATTTTGTGGACTGATGAAAGAAAGATTGTTCTTTTTGGGTCTAGTGGCCGGAGTCAGTTTGTCAGATGACCCCCAAACACTGAATTCAAGCCACAGTACACTGTGAAGACAGTGAAGCATGGTTGCAACATCTTGGTTCCAGACCAACAAGATTGATGTTATGGAGTGGCCAGCCCAATCCCCGGATCTTAATCCAATAGAAAACTTGTGGGGTGACATCAAAAATGCAGTTTCTGAGGCAAAACCAAGAAATAGAGAAGAACTGTGGAATGTAGTCCAATCATCCTGGGCTGGAATACCTGTTCACAGGTGCCAGAAGTTGGTTGACTCCATGCAACACAGATGTACAGCAGTTCTCAGAAACAGTGCATATACAACTAAATATTAATTAAGTGATTCAAAGGAAAGCAAAATCTTGAAACATTTTTCAGTTTATATAGTGAATGTTTGAGTTTGTAAAGAAGAATACAAACACTGCTATTTTTTTGAACAGTCTAATATTCACTTTTCTTCAATTTTTTTTAGAGGAACAACACAAATTTGATATATTTTTCTTCATGTTTTGATTTGGAATAGAATGTGTAGTGTTCCCAATGCATTTGTGTGTATGGAAATAAAAGCTATTAGAAGGATTTTGAGCTTTATTCACTTTTTTCAACACACTGCTATTATTTTTAACACAGCTATATATATATATATATATATATATATATATATATATTATTTTTTTTTTTTATAATAATTTATTTTACAAATCTGCAGTATTATTTTTCACATCAGGTTACAAAATATACTTTACCTTTTCTTAGGTATAGTCACATCTAATGGACACATGTGGAAACAGCATAGACGTTTTGCAATAATGACCCTAAGAAACCTTGGGCTTGGAAAATGTGGCCTGGAGTCACGTATACGAGAAGAAGCATGCTGTCTGGTGGAGTCATTTAAAACCAAGAATGGTTAGTCTGCTGAGTTTTTTTCCAAACTACTGTTTACTGTTTATGTTTCAAATGTGAACTGAGCAGCATTATTAAGGAAGTTGGGCATGTGTCAATATGTCCAATATAAAGAAAGTAAACTGTAAAAAAAAAAAAAAAGAAAAGATGGTTATCTAAATGAATGTAGATCTCCTGTCACCACTGATCTTCAGCTGAATGGTGATAAGGAAGCCATCTGAAGAAAGAACTGCACAGTGCATGTTTTTAATGTAAACTCCTTTCTGTAGTCAGCCTGAGTTTAGCAATGACAGGGGATCTGTATTTGCATAGAAAAGTCTGCTGTCATTATGTATTGCTGTAAAAAAGCACGATGAGCAAAGGAAAAGCTAAAACAAGCCCTAGGGTAGTACAAAAAACAATTAAGATTTCAACATACAGTAATTCAACAGCAAGCAAAGATATTTCAGTGTACTTAGATCAGCAAAGGTGAATTCTCATGGCTTGCTCTTACATTCAGTGGCAATAAAAAGATGTCAGACATTAATAATCATTTCTTATATATTTTAGGAGAATCTTTTGATCCTTCGGAGATGATCACCAATTCTGTAGTAAATGTAATTTCTGCTGTGGTTTTTGGCCATCGTTTTTCAATTGATGATGGGATTTTTCAGAAATTGGTGAAATGTAATCATAGTCTGCTTGAGATTATTGGCTCAACATGGGGAAGGGTAAGTTTCAGTAAAGCAAGACATTTTTTTTTTTTCTGGGTTTGTCATGAGTTGACCATTGAGCAAATTTAATTTATGGAGCTGCTTTTCCCCCCAGCTATATGACTCTTTTCCGTGGATGATGAAACATCTACCTGGTCCTCACCAGAAGGCCTTTGACATTATGGCATACTTACATCAGTTTACAGACAAGGAGATCCGAATGCATAAGGAGAATGGATCATTAGAGGAACCTCAAGATGTCATTGACTATTATCTGGCCCACATTTCAAAGGTAGAAAATTATGTAGTAAAATATTATTTTTTCTAAAATAATAAACATGGCATACTCACCTGCTCTGTGCAATGGAATTGTACAGAGTAGCCCCTTACCTCTTCTTCTGGGGTCCCACGCCAGTGCTCTCGGCTCCTACTTTTCTGTGTCTGCCACCATAGCAAGCCACTCACTCCTGAGCCAGGCTGTGTGCATTCATAGACACACACACAGCACCGCTTTGCCCCGCCCACCACTCTCTGCTCACAGGATTTAATTGACAGCAGCAGGACAGCACAATGGCTCCTGTTGCCTCTGTGCCCTGTTAATGAAAGAAAAGAGAGCTGCTAGAGATGTGCATAGCACTGGATTGAGTCAGGAATCAAGTATTTGGGGGGTGAGGGGGCGAAACTGCTACTGGGACATTTTTGTACCTTAATGCATGAAATGCAATGAACTTAGAACCACTTTAAAGTTTGGTAACACATAGAAACTAATTACAATACAAAGTTACATTGGGGGAATTAACAAAACTTTCTATGTCATTATAATGGAAGCAGTTGAATGGCAGGCCTCATGCATTGTGGATTGTAGCCAGATGAGTTCTGTGAACGGCATAGAGAGCAAAAGTATGAAGGCAGGCGGGAAGCAGAGCATTTGTCTGTAGCAGAGGCATCATCACACATATCTAATTTTTATGAAGCTGTGTCCCACCCCCCACCAAAGAAATTTTCTAAACTTCAAATTTACAGCTGAAGTTTAGGTATAGATATGCAGGCATAGTTACATGGGACAGCTTGAACAAATGTAAGTCTCCATGTGCCATACTTGGCCAATCCCCATGGAAGCTGGAAACCACTGTAGTAGTTGCCACCCCACCTCTCCACCTTCTCCAGTCAGAAAACACTTTGCATTCATTGTGAATATGAATTGAGAAAAGGGACCTGGAGACTAGTGGCAATCACTGTAGTAGAATACTACAGTGATATCCAGCTCTCCCTGACACACAGCAGTAGCCTTTAGGAATTGCTGGCATGAATGTGTCTGTTTATCTTCAGATCATTCATAATATGTATGGGCTTGAAGATAAATAATGATATGTACTAAGTATGGATTTGTTTACAAACATAAATCTATTCATAAATATTTTTAAAAAACTATCAATATAGAAGCAAGTTATAAAAAATAAAAAAATAATAATTCTATATTCTTTCCAATTTTACTGCATATTTTTTTATTATATGAGGATTCTCACACAATAAGACAAGTCTAAATAACCTGTTAGTATGCATCGCATAGTAGCACATTATAAAAGACCTACCTTAAAATTAAGCCCTCCAGCGCACCGCTGTCATAGCTCTTCAGGGCTTTCCATCTTCCGGGTTCGCGGGCTCCGGCCTTCTGACTAACCAAGCCACGATGACATCAGTCTCGGCTGTGGCTTGGCTCTCTCAATGGATGGCAGGCTGTCCATTAAGAGCACAGTGCATATGCGTTGGTGACATCACTGGGGCTGCTAATGTAAATATTTCCTAAACGGTGCACATTTAGGAGATATTTACAGTACCTACAAGTAAGCCTTGTTAAAGGCTTACCTGTAGGTAAAACATAAAAAAAAGACTTTACTACCATTTTAATTTATTTAAAGACACCCCAACATAAGCATACCCCCAGTGATGAGACTTCAAAAGTTGTTCTATTCAACCATCCTTTTTTCTATTATTTTAACCACTTGCCTTCCAGAGGATTTACCCGCCTTCCTGAACAGGCCATTTTTTGCAATATGCGTTACTTTAACTGACAATTGCGCGGTCATGCAACGCTGTACCCAAATTAAATTTATGTCCTTTTTTCCCACAAATAGAGCTTTCTTTCAGTGGTATTTGATTGCCTCTGAATTTTTTATTTTTGGCGCTATAAACAAAAAAATACCGACAGTTTAAAAAAAAAACAACATATTTTGACTTTTTGCTTTAAAACATATCCAGTCAAAATTTAAAAAAAAAAAAATCTAATTTCGTCATAAATTTAGGACAAAATGTATTCTGCTACATGCTTTTCCTAAAAAAAATCCCACTACATGTAAATTAATTGGTTTACGTGAAAGTTATAGCGTCTACAAGTAGCTGTATATATATTGGAATTTAATTTTTTTTATACTAGTAATGGTGGTGATCAGCGACTTATAGCGGGACTGCGGTGGGCATTCTGACACTGGGGGGGGGAACTGACTATCACTGACATCTCCAGTGACACTAATACAGTGATCGATGCTAATAAAAAGCACTGACACTGTATTAATGACACTGGGCAGGAAGGGGTTAACATCTGGGGCAATCAAAGGGTTAACTGTGTGCTGTTTGTGTTTCACTGTGTGCTGTATTTTATTAGGGAGGCATGGTGCTTTGTATTGCTCTATGCAGAGCAATGCAAAGCAGCATGCTGGAGCTGACAGGGAAGAGATCTGTATTGTTTACATACAGACCTCTCCCCCATCAGTGATGCTCGGCGATCGCCGGGTGCCAGTGGAGAATATCTCCGGCCAGGACCCGGTGATCGACACCTGTAGCCACCAATGGAGGTGCGGGAAGGGCGCGGGCCCCCTACCCAGAAATACAAAATCATGTATGTATACATGATTTTGCACAGCCCTGACGCCCTGTAGCAGTAGTTCTGCTATAAGGCAGCCGGGAAGCGGTTAAACTACCCCTAATAACAACAAAATATACAAATGAACACACGTAGCACAAGAAAAGGGTAAAATATTTTTTACAGTTATAGAGGTTTACAGCTGCAGCAACTGGAGTGTTTTTTTTTTTTGCAATACTTACCTCAATTCTGCTCCCTCCCCAGACTTACTGCTCTATGGTTCAGCACTGTTTTCTTCCAGGTTGAATGGTGGCCAGCTGCATCCAACCCACTTCCTGTGCATTTGACTAATATGTATGTTGACCATCACTGCTTTATTTTATACTGTCTTCAGGCTGGTCACATAACTCGTTTTTTAGAGCTTCTTTTGGTGGTGGAGGGTCCTTAATGGTGCAGAGAGTGGTGCTGACATCATCACGTCAGTGCAACTCTCTGCATCATTACACTGTGAGTGCAAGGCACCATGGTGATGCTCCATCAGGTGGCAGGTCCATGACATGCTGCAATTAAAATATGCCCTCATTCTTCCAGGGTTAAAGGACACTGAACCTTATTCAACCTGGAAATCTGAAAACATTTGAAACATTTTGTGGTGAAAAGGAACTACTGCAGGGGACAGTACTGGAGAGGTGAATATTGCAACCAGAGCTGCTTTTTAGGTTTTTATTACCATCTGATACACTACTAATAATAAAATAAGAAATAAAAAATCCCATGAGTTGGGCTTTAAGCTATTAGAAGGATTTTAATAAGTATCAGCATATTTTTGTTTCCATGTCTAAATCATATTTTATTTTCCTAGACAGCAGGTGAAAAAGACTCAATTTTTAGTGAAGACAGTCTGATTGCACTGGTTATTGAGTTTTTTAATGCTGGAACTGAAACCACAGCCACCTCCTTGCAGTGGGCATTATTATGCATGGTGGCCCATCCTGATGTGCAAAGTGAGTAGACAAATGATTGGAATTTTGCAAAAGGTACATATTTTGTTTGCTGTGGTAATGCACATTATATGTATTGGTGCACTGTGGTGCCATTCATTTTAAACAGCACCCAAATGCACCTCCACAACACAGTGCCTGGGATGTGCTGTGATACAAAATCTATATTTTTTTTGCCTAACACAGCAAAATGCACCACAAAAGCTGCTCATTGTAGCACGTGTTGCACTGTGCTGCACCACAGGTGTGTTTGCAAGAAGTGCTGGGTGCCATTCAGGGGCGGACTGACAACTCATGGGGCCCCCGGGCAATAGGGGATCAAGGGGCCCCCGTGTCGTTGCCCATACTCAAAAAAGCCTTTGAAAAAGGTAGCAGGGGCATCTCGTGGGGCCCCCTACTGACCCCGGGCCCTCGGGCAGTGCCCGAGTTTCCAAATGGTCAGTCCGCCCCTGGTGCCATTAAGATTGATTTGCACTGCAATGCACCAGCGCATGTTATAAGCATTTTTCTGTATTGCAGAAATGGGCACTGTTGCAGCACGACAGTGTGAACCCAACATAAAAGGAGGGCATAGAAGAAGCTATATTCTTCTAGACATTCTGGGGTTGATATAATAAAGGAGTAGAGGCTGAAGTGAACACAGATTCAATTTATTCACTAAGCTCAGTGAAACATTCACTTTGGTGAGTTAACAATTTCTATTCCTTTAGCTCTGTCTCTAATTCACATTTTGTAGGAAGCCATCCCTACAGGCAAGCAGGGTATTGAAGGGAGGTGATTGAGTCACTACTTATTTACAGGTGTACCTCAGTTTACGAACGCCTCAGTTAATGCAATTTTCGGTTTATGAATGAAAATCCATTGAAAATAATGCCTCGGTTTATAAATTTTTTTTCGCAATATGAACGGATATTCAATGCATTTACGATTTTTTTTTAATCATGTCCCTGTACAGTGCTATGCCTTTAAAGTGCACTTTATAAAGAGTTTTGAACAGATAAGACTTTTTTTTACTTTTTTCTGACCCCCGGAATGGATTAATTGGTTTTCAATGCAATTAGGAATTTTTTTTTGATCATGTCCCTGTACTGTATTTATGCCTTTAAAGTGCACTTTATAAAGAGTTTTGAACAGATAAAGACTTTTTTGTACTTTTTTATGACCTCTGGAATGGATTCATTGGTTTTCAATGCATTTACGAATTCATTTTTAATCATGTCCTTGTACAGTATTTATGCCTTTAAAGTGCACGTTATAAAGAGTTTTGAACAGATAAAAGACTTTTTTTTTTACTTTTTTCTGACCTCTGGAATGGATTAATTGGTTTTCAATGCATTCCTATGGGAAAATGCGTTTTGGTTTACAAATTTTTCGCAATACGAAAAGTCCTGCAGAATGCATTAAATTTGTAAACCGAGGTACGCCTGTACTGGTGTGTAAATTCAGTTTGAGCTATTGAGCTCTGTAAACCACAGTATCCAACTCTTGGGTGTGAGGATACAAAATATACCTATGCAATATTCTATGTTCTGTACCTATATGAAATTATATATTTTTACAAATTGAATATTTTAGTACTGACCTAAAAAATAAAGAAAATATATACACAATCATAATACATTATTTTTTCAAGGTTAAAATAAACCTGTATTGGGGAGAGTATGTAGATCACTATTGCTGAAAATTCTAGCTGTCTGACTGTCATGTAGGCTCATTGATGACAATCATTTTTTATCAACACTGATGTCAATCCTTTTTTTCCAAGTAAGCAGATCAGGAGTTCAGACTTCATTGTGACTTTCCGGATTTGCAAGCTTTTTCTGTAGTTACAACTTCTGCAAAGTGGGAAATGGTTCCCTAAAACCCTTAAACCTGTGTGATACTAATCAATGCAAGATGTAGTACAGTAGAGGTGTGGTGTGAAATACTTTTAAGATGTGATTTCTGTGGTAGGGAATCTTCAATTTCAATCAATACTCCACTTCATAGCTGGGGATTAAAGGTATTTGCAGGGCCACTATTTAATTTGCAAAATGAGAAAGTGATATTTTTAGGGAAACTCTGCTGTTGATTCAGGGATGTGGCTTTTCAGGTATGGCATTTTGCTGAACCAGAGATGTAAACACAGGCACACTGAACTAGGGATGGGTGGTAATGGTATTTGCAAAGGAAATGTTGAAAAAGTGTGATCTTTTTAGGGACACTAAGACAGACAAAGGAGGGTGGTATTTTTAAGTTAAAAGGATACTAAACCCAAGACCCTGCATTCACTATACCTGGTCTCCCACAGTACACAGAAAATGGAAATGCAATTATTTTAGTAAATACAAACTACTAAATACCTTTTCTCTTCAGCAGTTAGAGCAGTCTTGTGACTTCAGCAGAGCACTGGTTAAAGCTTGTAGAACAATGTGAAACCTCTGACCCTCTGTCTGGACAGTGCTGATTGGCCCTGTGCTGATCATATTATTATTATTATACAGTATTTATATAGCGCCAAAAAGTTTGCTCAGCGCTGTACAGAGTAGTGGGGGACAGTACATGAGACAATACAGTAACAAAACAGTATATGAGGGGTTCGAGGGTCCTGCTCTTTCGAGCTTACAATCTAGGAGGGAGGGATGTACCCTCCAAAGGAAAAAAAAAACTTATCTAGCAATACACACCAAATTGAGCATGTGCATGTGACCACAGGTTCATTCTGTATCAGGTGGTCATTTGAACAAGCGGAGGGGCAGAGAAGAAAGGATCAAACAGCCTTTTTACATAATGCAGAGGATGTAACCCCTTAGCTTCCACAGTGAATATAACAAGCATGCTTTACTGCATATACAGGCTGATTTTACTGCTGTGGGTTTAGTAACACTTTAATTGTGAACCAAGGATGGGGTCACAGGGAGCTTTCCTGGGGCACACTAACGCTTAGATCTTCACATGGATAGACCTCTGCTGGGTTGGAGATGCAGAGATGAGCAGCTACAATGTGCTGCATAAGCTAGGAATAGTAGGGACACTGTGGAGTGGAGCTGGAGATGAGGAGTAATGTAATGGTATTTGAAGGGACACCGATAAGTCAAATGTGGAGGGACACAGAACATTCCAGGCATAGAGTTAATGCTTGCACAGAAATATTTCCTAAAAAGAATGTGTAAGAAAAATAGGATGCACAAAAACAGACTAACCAAAGCTGATTTTTGTTGATTTGGTGGCTGTGGGCAACAGTTCTTTAGACACTTTTGAAAAAGAGGTGCCTTATGTTCATGTTTTAATAGGTATGTGCTAATATTAGGATTATGTATTAACATTTTCTCATTACAGAGAAGGTGCACGAGGAACTGGATGCTGTCCTTACTGGGCCTGTAATTTACTATGAAGACAGAAAGCGGCTCCATTACACTAATGCCGTCATTCATGAGATCCAGCGTTTTGGGAGCGTAGCAGCTGTAGGACTTCTAAGAACCTGTTTAAGAGATGTCAGTGTCAGAGGGTACTCTTTGCACAAGGTGACAATTTTATAAGCTACCTCAAATGAGAAAATATGTGGGCTGCCACTGTGGACCTACAGTATCTTCAAAGTACTGAGTAGAGATGAGCAAATTAATTTCAGCATCATTTATTTTGCTTCAAAATTAAAAGCAAACATTTACTGAAGAAGAAACTCTCAATTTTGATCACTGAGGCGTTTAGATGAAATGTTCTTAAAAGAAAATCTTCAAGGATGATAAGGGTAATTTCTTGACAGACTCCATGGCAGCATATGTTTGGGATACCTCCACCCTCACTCCTACCCCATAGGACCCCACTCCCAAAAAATTCAAGGCTGATACAGAGACTGCATTTCTTTTTTGTCCTCCTCGTAGGACCCTTAGTATTTGAAGTTTTCCCTATCTTTTGGACGTGTCAGTAGCCGGATCTCATGCAGG